GCTCTATAGCCCGAAAAAACCCACAAGAACCTAGTGATTCCAGCCATGAAAGCCTTCGACAATACAATTTTATTATCCACAAGGGCCAGACCCAAATAACCCATTGAATAATGAAAGTGTTAATATAGAAAGATAATGTAGGTAACGGATAGTGTGTTATCTAAGAATTGGTTAATCTGGTCAATTGCAGTCTTGTAAAGTATATAGTGTTATTATAAGTGGTGAATTGTATATGTTTCATATAGTAGGTATGATGTGTAGATATATTCTTGTAAAGTGTGTTAGATATGTAGGTTTTGTTAATAGACAAAATGTAGTTAGATGTAAATATGGAAATGGTTGAAATAGACTGTTTACTAGAATAGAAGAGAAATTCCTTCTGTGTTATAACCCTATAACAGACAGAAAGACCCTTAGTAATGAACTAATTTGTGTTTGGGTATAGAGACTTAAATCTCTCCAGATTATTTAAATTTGTTCATAAGTGTGGAAATATGATTGATAATAAAATATTGATATATATAGATGAAAATATGGATGATATTAACAGTTTAATATAAATATAGGTAAGAGTATAGATATTATATGTATATAGAATTGTCAGGAGGCATTTCTTATAAAAGGTATAGTATTTACTGTGTTAGAGTGATTATGTGCAATGTTATAATGTGTTTAACATGTTTTTTTCCTTACAGGGATGTATTTATTGTGTAATGTATTTAGGATATTGTGATTGCATAAATGTTTTATTGCATAAGGTGTTGTATTGCAAATGTAAGTATGTACATAGATAGATAGTATAGCTAGGAATAGATAGAAAAGGGGGTTAGTTGGGCCTAGTACAGTGCTTCCGAAAAGGGCTGCAGACCTTTTCACTCCGCAAACCATCTTGAGGTGGGGAGGGAATGTAAAGATCCCTTACCTTGCCAGCCAGGGTGGCAGGGCCAGGAAAAGTCAGGCTAGGTAGTTTAGCTTGGAAGGCCTGGCAGAGTGCTGCTGGAGCCATTTTAGAGCAGGGAAAAGCTCCAGAGCAGAAGGGGGAGTGGCTGAGGCCTGTGCCAGCCCAGCAACAGCTAGGATTGGTTTAGAGAATAGGGGCGGAGTTAGCCAGAAGGAGGGAAAGAGAACAGTGAGTTTTGACAGTTTTAGGTTTAGTTCAGTGCTGAGAGAGTTCTGAGAAAGATTTAGATTTGACTAGGAGTCTCTGTTTTAGAATAGGCAGTTTGCCTTTAGTCTGCACAGACCAGTAGGCTGTGGCAGACTGAGATTACAGCTACTTTTGAGAAAAATAGCTGGGTTTAGTGTTTAATGAAACTGTAACAAAAGAAAGAACATTCTCTCTAGAAACCAATATGCTTATAAGAAACAAGAACACTTTTATCTGTAACCATCAAGCCTCAGTACCTGCATTCTCGTGTTATTTCTGAATTTGTAATCAATAAACTCTTTCTTGATTATTGTTAAACTTAAAGCCTGAGTCAAGTGCTATTTTTGGTTTTGAATCCTTTTCCTTTTCTACTCAACCTCTCCTGTTTTCCCCTCAGAGAAAGCCCTCTTTAATACATCAGTATTTATGGTAGAGTAAAAAGCTTTTTAACATTTTAAGCAAATAGCTAGAGGGTTCGTGATTTCTTTAGTTTGGTGGCAGCGAAAGTTTTACACAGCGTGACATCCCCTCACACACTAGAATAGCCGAAGAGGTGTGTATTCCTTATTGAAGGAAGGGCAGAGGTGGGATTCGTTTGACCCCCTGTCCAGAGAAGCCTCTTTTGAGTTATCATAATTGGTTTTGCAGAGGTGGGATATTGATTTATTACCCATACCTCTAAGACCCTTATCCACTTCCCAAAGCTGGGAAGTGGATGGCTCAGTGATGGGAAATGATTGGTCTTATCTTCACTTGCCTCATTGTAGAAGTTCTTTCATTTCTTTAAGGCATCATCTCAATTAAATCCAAAAGATGAAGAATTCCTTAAGTAAGGGACTTCAATGTAGTATAAAAAAATCGAACATACCTAGTGCAATTCCACTGGGCTTCTCAATATCTGTTGTTACAAGTTGCTGCCTGTCAAGTCCATTCATCCCTGCTTTTTCAATTTTGGCTGGTTCACCCCAATCAGACCAATACATGAAGCTGTAAGAGAAACCAGGTAAGAGCTGTCACAAGTCTACTTGCTTTCCTCATTCAATACATGTTTCTTACTGCTTTTGATTTTTCAGCCCTGCTGTTTGATTTTGGTTTTCCTTCTGATGAAAAAATGCTTGAACATGGAACGGCCATTAGGTGCCCCAAGTGCTCTTTGAACAAGTTTATTCCATGAAGGTCAGATCTTCTTTATTATAGCTCATGAATAGTGGGGTGTTCTCTGCCTCACACTATTGCTAAAATACTCACATGGTGTATGCCACAAACACTGGCAATTTTCCAGACATTGGTTACTAGCAATTCTTCCTGGAGTAAATTCTACCTATGCATTTTTGGTCAACACTTATTTCATGGCTTTGCTATTCCAGGCTTTCCCTCTAAGAAAGCTGGACAACTGTGGCCCTCCAGATGTTGTTGGACTGCAACTTCCAAAAAACTTAGCCTGCATAGCCAATGGCAATACTGGAGCTGCTGTTTAGCAAGAATGTCTTGTTCTAGGATTGTTAGACTGTGCAATCCTCAGCTGTTTCCAAGAGGCAGCTCTTTCAACAATTGTCAATATATGGGTTTAGCCTTTTGGTGCTGCCAATGCTGATCTAATTCCAGGTGCATATATCCATACTACTAAGTTAAAACACTTTGGTGCCACTGCAACCGCCACAGCTTCATCATATGGAAAACAAGGGTTTGCACTTTCATGAACTAGGGCCCTTTTACACATCCCTATATCTCAGAATATCAAGGCAGAAAATCCCACATTTTCTGCTTTGAACTGGGAGATATGGCAGTGTGGACTCAAATAACTCAGTTCAAAGTACATATTGTGGGATTTTCTGCCTTAATATTAAGGGATATAGGGCTTTGGAAGTTACAGAGCTCTAGTGATACAGTTCAAGTAAAGTGGAGAATTCTCATTGTCTCACCAAACTACATATCCAGAATGCCACAGAACCATGTTACTTAAAGCGGTATCAAAAGGCTCTGATTGCAGCACTGGATACCCTTCAGGAATACCCTTTAGTCATGCTACCTCAACATAAAGACACTTAAAAGACACTTCTGTGCATGAACACATGCATATATGTCCTTACCCAGAAAGTGGATCCACAGCAATTGAGGCTGGCTCTGTTAAGTTAGTGTTAAATAGGACCTTCCACTTAGTACCATTAAGAGTAGCCACAGATATGGACTTAAGAGAAGAATCAGTCCAGTAGATGTTCTCATAAATCCAGTCAACAGCAATTCCTGCAGGACTCTGGACATTTTCTACAATCTGCAAATGCCGTCCTGGGCTGTTACTAGAAGTAAGTAAGGCACTAGGAAGAAAGATTCATTAAATGTTGTCTCAAGTAGATACACATTCACTTTTTTAAAGTATACTGTATAGACATTAAAACATGCAAATTATGGTTAAGAGTTAATCCTGGACTCAAATTTGTCTAGAATAGGAAGTAGTGGGAAATTTGAAGCCCTACAAATGTTTCTGCTCTGCAACTTCTATCAATCCTAGACAACAATAGCTAAGGATGGTAAGAAGTGTAATTCATCCACATAAAGTGCACCATACATCCTGTCTAGAAGCTTAGTTTCAGATAATGTTCAACACCCATACTTCTAAGACAATATTATGACCATCAAAGTCTGACTTTTAGCAAGTTTTGACAAGCATATCCTTCCACATTCACAGGGTTGAGGGGCACAAACAGCAGTAATGATACTTGGCAGATAGAACAGCAGTTGGGAATAAAGTAGTGTTAACCACTGTTAGTATTTCATTTTAGTGATGCTTTGGAAAGCAGTCCTGAAGGTCAGCACAATGCAGAATACCAATTTAATGGACTATAAACACTGTCAGTGTCACTATCAGGGCCATGGTCAAGAGTACTGACTGATAGTTAGCAGACTGTGATAACTACATCATTTTAGTGATTGGGAGCATGCTTCCCAATCACTAAAATACCAGCCACTTCTTCTGTAGGCCCAAGAAAAAATGTAAGTGGTATGTTCTCTACCTTGTGTAGTACAGGTAGAGAGGTCTCCTGTGTCTGTACAACACCACGTAGACAACACCAGGCACAAACTAGGATAGACCTTTGATTAACCATACTTGCTTGGGTTAAGAAATACGATAGCGTACAAGGCATGAGCTATATGTTAAAGGAATAATTGGTGATCAACACGGTTTTGTAATTTTCATGTAGATGCTGAAGACATTTTGAAGTTCTACTGCCCATTACAAAACAGAGTCCATTTACCTGAAGATACCATTTCGTCCAGCATCAGCCCAGATAACTTTGCGCTCAACCATGTCAGCGCTCAGAGCAACAACATTTCTCAGGCCTCCTACTAGCTGTGTGTAGTCCTGTCTTTCTAAAGCAAACTGCCGGATGTTCCAGTGATTAGTGAAGAGCAGGCTTGGTTCCCCTCCTGAAAGAAATCAGTACAATTATACAAGACAAAGCCTTAAAGCTAAACATTAGTCTACTATAATTATACAATTGAAAACAAGACTTCTTGGATTTAAGCAGGCTTTGTTTCCAGAAGATAGAAAAACATCACTCTTTAGGACAATCCCCTGGCCACCCTGGAGAAGAGATTTGGGGGTCTGTAGTCTAAAAGGTTTTTAAAACTCAGATTATTTTTGAATTGATGGATATTATAGGAGCCCTTTAAATAGTGACCAGTTTAGACTTGGTAAAGGCTTTCTAGTAGCAGAATCTGGACAATACAACAATACCACTCATGTAAATTACCAATTGCTTTGCATACTCCAGTTTGAGCATCCATTCGGTAGCCACGGCTACATTCACATTTGTATCCCAGTTTTGTGTTGATGCAGATTTGACTGCAGATACCAGGATTCTGGCATTCATCAATGTCTAGAAAAGAAGAGGCACTTAGTACAACATTCCAATATAAAGCTAGGCTTCAGTGACTCCAATCCTACTTCAACATGCTTACCTCCACATGTTTTTCTGTCTATCAGCTGGAAGCCAGCAGGACAATCACATTCATAGCCAATGACCAAGTCTTTGCAGATATGGGAGCAGCCTCCATTGTTTACCAAGCATTCATTGATGTCTGGAAGAAAGAATTAGAATTACCACTTAGTCTTTTAGATTTATTTTATGCACTTGGGAGTGCTTGACAGATATTTTCCAAAAGGAAACATTATAAGGTAAAGGTTTCCCCTAGTTGTCTCCGCCTCTAGGGGGTGGTGCTCATCTCTATTTCTAAGCTGAAGAGCCAGTGTTGACCGTAGACACCTCCAAGGTCACGGAGGTAGCATGACTGCATGGAGCGTCATTACCTTCCCGCAGAAACGGTACCCATTGATCTACCTGTATTTGCATGTTTTCGAACTGCTAGGTTGACAGAAGCTGGGCCAAACAGCAGGAGCTCCCCTACTCCCTGCATTTGAATGCCAATCTTTTGGTTAGGAAGTTCAACCCACTGTGCCACTAGGGGTCTGAAGACATTATACTGATGACTGAAATAAAAAAGTGAGACTTGAGACAGTTTTGGGATATTAGCGTGACCCTGTTAATGAACTCTATTATCACTGCTTGAGTGGGGATATTATTTTATTGGTGGGTTATAAAATGGATACAGAATGTAATTAATTAATATTGAAAGTACTCACCCCAAATATGGGAGTCAACAGCTAATCAGAAAAATATGAAATAGACCCAAGCCAAGCAGAGGAACAGCTCACAGATGTCAACAATCCTGTCAGCTTTACCTATTACTTACTGCATTGTTTGAGAGGTTCATCACTCCAGTCTTTGCAATCCTGTTTCTGGTTGCACACTTTGCTGGAATCTATGCACTCCCCGCTTCTACACCTGAATTTTCCAGGCCCACTGCACTGATTAACTGGAGGATGGAGAAAAATAGGAGATAAAGTTAAAAGGAATATTTCTGTTCCCAACTGAAAATGCCACTTGTTGTGTGGCATTAATGTCATTTTGGGGTTTGTTGAATATTTACTTTTCTCCAACCAGGAAAACAGAGGGAAACACTAAAGAGTAGTAATTAGTAGCCTGAAGAAGAATGCCCTTGTCCAGATGTCATCCTTCCAAGAAACTACGTCATTTCTCCAGGAAACAGAACATGGAATATGGCCTCTAAAGTATCATATCATAAGCCAAAATCTTCATTGGTATATAACTAGCTGGTGTGAGTCCCTCTACAGAGGTAGAGAAGATCAGAATACAAAAGTTTTAAATTAATTAATTAATAAATAACTCCATTCCATTACCTGTTTGACAATTGACTTCATCAGAGCCATCGATGCAGTCCCTCACACCATTGCACTGCCTGGTCCCATGAATACAGTTGCCATCCTCACATTTGAACTGATCAGGCCTACATGTCCGAGATGCTGGGAAGAGGGAGAGAAGATGGAAGAACTAAGCCTACTGGTGGATGAGGAGCAACCTTTCGAAGGCAACATATCTCACTGTAACTTACGGCAATTGATCTCATCGCTTCCATCCTTGCAGTCTGTGTCTCCATCGCAACGCCACTTCTTGTGAAAACACTCGTCCCCTGAATCGCACAGCATTTCACTTTCTCCACACTTCACGGTCAGGACAGGCTGGCGGCCACACTGCTCTGGGGATTCATCTGACCAGTCGGTACAGTCGGGTTCACTGTCACACACCCAGTTAACTGGGATACAGCTGTCGCTTTCACTTTTACACTGGAACTCCCCTGCTTTACAAGTAGGCGCTGCACAGCCTGCCTCATCGCTACCATCACTGCAGTCTTCTTGCCCGTTGCAGGCAAAATCTTTCGAGATGCACCTCCCGTTGGCACACGTGAATTCTTCAGGGCTACAAGTTATATTGGCTAAGGGAAGAGACAGAGCAATTAGATTTACCAAGCGCTACTGCTTTGGAAGTCGCTGAAAAGCAAGAACAGGTTTGCAATACTATACTAATCAGGTTTGTTTCCACACCAAGGGCACAGTAATATATTGCTTTGATCTTCACCTTTGAACACTGTACAAACTATGGCTTGGGAGATTACTGAACTGCCACATAAACTAGGGTCTAAATAAATTCAGAATTTGGCACTGCAGCAACTGTATTCTTGATAGAGGCAGCATTTAAAAAATTAACTGGTGATTAGTTATGATTCTAACTGAAAGGTATGGGAAAAATGCTGCCTAAGGTAAGGAAGCTCCTCATTTAGATCATTTCACTGTAGGCTTATAGTTCCTTCTCAAGTTACAACTATTTCTACTCTGGAATGGGAATGTGGATAGAATGTCATGTAATTAAGATCTGATTTCATTACTATACTCCTAATGGTTCAGTCAAACCTTCCTCAATGGGTGCTCTCCAAATTTGATGAATGACACCTCACATCTGGGAATGATGGGAATTGTAGTCCATTGGGAAAGCTGACGCAGGCTACATTTCTTGTCCTCAATGTTCATTGGAAAGTATATGGTGCGAGCCAAGTGTTTTGATGATGTACCTAACAAACATCTCACAGCATTCACAGGAACACTAATGAGGAATTTAACCAAGTCCTATTTAATTCACGAGCTAAAGTATAGCCTATAGAAATGCAGTTCAACCAAAGAGAAACCTGTACCTGTCTGAACATATCTTCCCCTATGAACCACTCAGAGATTAAGATCGTCTGGGGAGGCCCTGCTCTCGGCCCCACATTCTTTGCAAGTGTGACTGGTGGGGATGAAAGACAGGGCCTTCTCAGTGGTGGTTCCTTGGCTCAGTGGTGGCTGTGGAACTCCCTCCCTAGCAACATTGTATTGGCCCCTTCCTCCTAGCCTTCAGAAATAGTGTAAAAGCCTGGCTGTGAGATCAGGCTTTCAGCGAATAATGCTATAATGCAATTGGAACACGTGCATTCACTATGGAATGGCCTTAGACTATGATTTCTGGATGGCATGATTTTAATATTGAATGTAATTTTGAACTGTTTAATATGTATTAATTTTAATTCAATTAATTTTAAGCTTAATGTATGTATGTGTTTAATGCATTGAATAATTGCCATATGTAAGCTGGTGTGAGTCCCCCTTGAGAAAAAGGTGGGTTATAAATAGGGTAAATAAATAAATAAAATAAAATAAATACAGTAGTATTTTAAGGCCAATATATGCATTAGTGCGGCTAGATTCTGCCTAATTAAAATGTTGGGTGTTTGATCTTGTACAGTCTGGAACCTGACTCTGGTGTTATAATTCATGTATAGCAAACACACGAGGAAGAAGAGTACGAGTTTTAGAATGAGAATCATAGAAAGTTGGAAGAGACCACATGGGCTATCTAGCCCAACCCCCTTCCATGCAGGAAAAGCACAATCATCAAAGTACTCCCTTTTGGGCTGTTCGTTTCCCCTGTAGATGACAACATTCTGCAAATTTAGAACTGGTTAAGAAATAGAACACCCGAGTAAGGCATCCCTTCCACCCTGAATGACTCCAGCTTACCACAGTCATCTTCATCTGTACCATCACCACAGTCATTTTCACCATCACATCTCCAGGACACTGGGATACACCGACTTGATCGAGGACCACAGCTGATTTCACCCACTGAACACTTTCTTGTATCTATTGAGAAGTGATCACAAGGTCACTTAGAAACTGATTCAAGCTCTGTACCTGGGGATTTAAGCTTTGTATTCAAGCCAGTTCAGATAACACTTTGCTCAGTGTTATCTGCTATTCTGTATCTGAAAACTAACTACCCAGAAGGGAGCTTCCTAGCATTTCTTCCCCAGCTTTCATGTATTATTTGAGACTTTGTTCAGGGAGGCTTTGATGAGAGTTCACTGGAGGGAGACAATTTCTTAACTTAATCTTACGTGGATTTGCTGCATTGTTTGTTTGACATTTGTGGCCATGTTTACATATTTAAGCCAACTCAAAAGTTCACTTGAGCAAATCATTCAGACTCTAGAACCAAATGCCCTTTAGGATGAAGCAGTGGATTATGCCAGGTTACTAAATGTTTATATTTTACTGTTCTGGACTTTTTCTGAATCATCCATCTATTCCTTTAATTCTTGGAGCGACACACAACAAAGTAATAAAGATAAGAAAATTCAATGATTTCAAACAAAGTTAACAAAATGGATGGCATAGGTAAAAAAGACAATAAAAGACTATCTAAAGGTCAAGCAGTAAAACTTTGACAGGACTCTATGGCTTTATAAGGTACCTAATATAATATAAACTTCTTAGGAAGGAAGCTCCAGGGCATTACTAAACAGACATTACTATCTCAAGTTGTGATCCACTTTGTCTAGGAGATGGGGACATAAGAAATGAGGAACATAAGCTCATGGAACTCCGCTCCAGGTTTTTGCCTCAATATTATAGGAGCTATCTGATATTTGAATCACACCATCAATATAGATTTCAACACGTTGGACACCTCCAAACGAAGGATGCCCCAGGCAGCAACCAGCTAGGCTTTGAAGATGGAAGGCCATTAAATGCTAACCAAGGTGGCCAATTGTAACAATCACACTTGCCTCAAGCAGACAAGAGTTCTTTCTCTCACCCTGGACCTTCCACAGATATATAAACCTCACTTGCTTAGTTTTCAACAGACTCCACAACTTCTGAGGATGTCTGCCATAGATGCAGGTGAAGCGTCAGGAAAGAATGCTTCTGGAACATGACCATATAACCCGGAAAACTCACAGAAATCCAGTTGGACAGTTCATTTAACATACAGACAAAACCAAAAGCAGATTCACTGTCCATTAACACTGAAGGCACTAGCTGTCACTATATAAAAGGGTGACCTTGCACTATGGTCATAAGACATTTACGTTAAGAACAAACACTTCAGATGGACTTAGTCTGCTGTATTTTGCTTGACCTGTAGTTTCAAAATATTTTTCAAGAAAAAGCTCTACATAGACTTTTGCTGCAGCTTAAGGTACAGTCCATTCCATTTGCTTTCACAGAAAGGGACACAGTTGTTACATCAATTGAAGCAGCACCAAAAGCAGTGGCTAGCTACCACTGCCACTTAAGTAAGCACTGCTGGACCTGCATTTTTTAACCTGTACAACCCAACCCTTTAGTTACAACTTTGTTTTGCTTATAAAGTTTAACACTTAATACAACAATATCTCTTCCACACAGAAGAAATAGTCTAAAATATGTGGGAGAATTGAAGGCAGACCAAATGAATAACATGTTCGCTCTCTACACAAGCCATAATATTGAAGATTGCCCTAGAGATTAGGACACAGAGCAGTAAAGTCAGAAATGGAGATTTCACTTTAATATTAGGAGCCTCTGTTGGCACAGTGGGGTTAAAGCACAGAGCTGCTGAACTTGCTGACCGAAAAGTTGTAGGTTCGAATCCGGGGAGCAGCATGAGCTCCAGCTGTTAGCCCCAGCTTCTGCCAATCTAGCAGTTCGAAAACAAGTACCGCTCCGGCATGAAGGTAATGGCACTCCATATAGTCATGCTGGCCACAATGGACAATGCCGGCTCTTCAGCTTAGAAATGGAGATGAGCACCAACCCCCAGAGTTGGATATGACAGGACTTAATGTCAGGGGAAAACCTTTACCTTTTTTATTAGGAAGAACTTCCTAATAGCAACAGATGTATACAGTGCATTATGCTGCCTTGAAGTGTGGTAGAGTCTCCTTCACTGAGGTTTGTAAATAGAGATTGGATGTATTGAGGTGATTTATGGTGTGCCAGGGAATTGGACTGGCTGGCCCTCAGGGTCTCTTTCAACTCTATCCCTAACCCAATTGCCAGTGTAATGCATATATTACAGGTTTTTAACATTCTGTATGGAACAGCCTACAGCTGGAAACATGACGTGCAGAGTACAATTGTATTTGAGTTAGTTCCCATTTTAAAACCTGAAAGAACCTATGGTTGTATTGAAGCATAGCAGGCAAGCTTACTCACAGCATAGTTCAGAGTGTTCATCTGAGCCATCTTCACAGTCAGTATCTCCATCACAATGCCATCTGCTGGGTATGCACTGTCCATTCTGGCATACGAAGTCTGATGGAGAACAGGTCTTTTTCACTGCGGGGAAACAGTGAAAAATAAAGAGATATCCTATTTGCAAATAGAACCATGTGTTTAGTTGACTTACCACATACCCAGTTAAATAATTTGCATCACAACATTCTTTTCAGAGTTCCCAGATTTAGAATTCAAAGCAGATGTTTAACAGTGCATACCGTTTCCTTTTAAATCACATTTCTTTTTCTGAACACAAACAAATATGAAAGAAAAGACAAGTATGGAATTTGATAGGAATGCTAGGCCAGAGAGTCAGGCCATGAAGGGAATGGCGTCAAGCTCCAAATTGAGTAGTGGCGCAGTTGTACTATAAGTTGGCCATATTTTTTAGAAACCCTTTTGCTTTAGGACAGTGGTTCTCAACCTGTGGGTCCCCAGATGTTTTGGCCTTCAACTCGCAGAAATCCTAACAGCTGGTAAACTGGCTGAGATTTCTGGGAGTTGTAGGCCAAAACACCTGGGGACCTACAGGTTGAGAAGCTCTGCTTTAGGACAAGGATAGGTAAAATGCATCCTGGGCCAACATGCAGCCCCTTCCAGGCTTCATTTCTGACTCCTCCAAAAAAAGAAAAGAAAAAGAATTGCCCCTACTACAGCAGTTCATCCTTTATATAGCTTGAAGCCCCTCTGCACTTCTTAATATCAATACCTATTTTTAAAAACTTCCACAGGGTTCTATTTTTTGCACTTTGGTAGTCCATGCATCCCTCAGAGGACTCAAGGAGGGGAAATCAGTTCTGGGCTTATGGCAGTTGCTCTTCCCTGCTTGGAGATACCATCTTAGTCCATTCTAATGCTTTGCAAAGTGAAGATGTTTCCTACCTACAGTTTTAAAGGAAAGGTATTATTACTATGGGAGGAACGTGAGATCTCCATGAAATTGAGTTCATGCTGACAGGGCAGAAGAAGCATTGGTTGCAAAGAAAGGAAAATAATTTGGGATTTTGCAAGGTTGGATCTCCTCCTCCATCCTTGGACAAGGAGCTAGAGCAATGGCGGACCTTGGCACTATTGTCCAAAAAATGCTGAGGCACGGATGCATTTCACAGACATCAAACTGTATGCTATAAGTATGTAGACATACATTTATAAACCTACCAAAAAATAATCCAGTCTACAAGTTACTGCTTTTTTCCTTAGCACACTGTGATTTATTGTCTTTCAATCATAACTCATGTTAATCTAGCACAACAAATGAAGCATAACTCTGACTATTGGTCTTGAACACCAGAACTCTGTGGGTAGCCTTTCATGAAACCAGTGGCCCGATGCCTAAGAATATTGATTATGAATATCCTTCTCATACTCTTTTTATAGGGATGGATGCTTTTGATAATCTTGTAAAAACCGAAACTCATTTTTGCAATCATTTTGCCCTACATACCTTGCTATCAGCTAAATAAGTTCAGACAAAGCATGTCAGAGGTATAGTGAAACATTTACTGAGCTACTTGATTACACTGAGAGTGCTTCAGTTCCCAGGCAGGACCTTACCGCAATTTAGTTCATCACTGCCATCGGAGCAGTCTTCATCTCCATCACACCTCCACACCAGAGTTATGCAGCGGCCATTTTGACACTGGAATTGATTTTCATCACACGTTACCCTTGTACCTTGAAATGAGAAATAGGCTACAGTTAGATGCTGTAGACCTGAGATAATACAACAGGTCTGATGGCATGACAGTATCTAATATCAGGGCTGACACTGCAATCCCTTAATAATTTCAGCGGTCAGCGGTGATTTCACTCTTCTGGAAACAGTAAGTAGTTTGGATTTATTCACTATCTTACTTGAGGTTGGTAAGAAGATATTAACAAAACCAAGTCTGCTCAAGAATACACGCCAATGGAAGTTAATCCATTAGGGAAATTAGGCCCACCAGGATAACAATATTGACATAATCAAGATCAACTCAATGGTTATTTGTATGAATTCTGGTTAATATTTGGTTTGTCATTCTTAGCAGTGCTCTAAGAGACAAAGCCAGGGCCCTTCCACACAGCCCTATATCCCAGAATGTCAAGGAAGAAAATCCCACAATATCTGTTTTGAAGTGGGTTATCCAAGTCCACACTCAGATAATGTGGGATTTTCTGCCTTGATATTCTGGGATATAGGGCTGTGTTGAAGGGCCCCCAGTTGCAGTTGAAGGTATACCATGTAAAAACCCAGAAGTGGTTTTCTTGCTTTGTTACAGTGTCATAAGACAGTATCCAAGCTTTTATGCATGATTCCACCAGAGTGAATGTTCGTCAAGATGACAGCAAGAGTTCTATTACATGGATGGTGGAGAGGAGGCAACATTAGAACTGGGGAATTCTAAATTATGAAAAGGAAAACAAAGAAGAGGAGAGAAAAATTAAGAACAGACATTTCTTGAGATGCTGACTTGGAGAGACAGAAAGAACTGAAACTCAAATGACCACAGCCATCGTATCTACAGCACCATTTCCAAGATTCGAGACCTAGGGCAAATTGTGGAGAAAAAAGAATCCCTTTCTGTTAGCTGATAGAATAATTTTTTGTATGCAATTCCTTTTCTCCCAGAGAGATCAGAATTTGGCTTGGATATCACAACTGTATGGACTTCTTTGTCTATCAAAAAGCCTATTCCCAGTTGCCCTGGCTGGCTGCACTTTAAAAGTTTAACCAGGTGCTAAAAAATCACTTTGTTGCTCTCATTGGTATAAATGGCTGGGAATAAAAAAAAATGCTAACCTACTGGAAATAACCCAGAATCTGGGTATCTATCAAGATCGAGCTGCTCCCCATCCTAGATTGTAGGATCATTATATTCCACATAATTCCTTATAATTCCTCAAATGCTAATGGAAATTACAATTTTGCAGAAGAAAGCCACAAGTTATAGTGCAGAAAACTGAGCAATGTCCAAGATCTAACAACGGAAAGTTGTAGTTTTTAGTATTAAACAGTTTGACACCAAAATGACCCAAACTCCAAACTTCCAGCATTTCCCAACCCAACTTGCAGATGGGCAGATGTTGAACCAGAGATTCGGCGCCCAAAGAACATGTTCCGACCAGTAACCTCCCCACAACACCACCTGAGCTCTGCAAGTGCAGCATTTTTTTTTTGAATGAAGCAGAGAGTGTTTGAGGATCGGGACATCCGTAGGAAGACCAAGATGCTTGTTTATAAAGCTACTGTCCTCCCAACCCTGCAAAACGCCTGTGAAACATGGTCTACAGACATCACATTCAACTACTGGAATAATTCCATCAGTGTTGCCTCCAAAAAATCCTGTGAATCTCTTGGGAAGACAGGCAGACAAATGTCAGCTTGCTGGAAGAAGCAAAGACCACCAGTGTTGAAGCGATGCTTCGACACCATCAACTCTGCTGGACTGGCCACTTTATCTGAATGCCCGAGCACCATCTCCCAAGGCAATTACTATACTCCCAACATAAGAATGGGAAATGTAATGTTGGTAGACAGAAAAAGAGATTTAAAGATGGGCTTAGAGCTAACTTTGAAAACTGTGGCATGGACACTGAGAAATGGGAAGCCCTGGCTCTTAAGCACTCTAACTGGAGGTCAGTTGTGACCAGCAGTGATGCAGAATTCAAAAGGCACAAACAGAGAGCAAAAAGGAGAAATGTGTTAAGAGGAAGGCATGTCAAGCCAACACTGACTGGGATTGCCTTCCACCTGGAAACCAATGTCCTCACTGCGGGAAAACATGTGGATCAAGAATAGGGCTCCACAGCCATCTACGGACCCACTGCCAAGACACCAGACCATCATCCTCAGGCTACAAGAGATCACCTAAGTAAGTAAGTAAGATCGTATAAGTTTATAATGAGCAGTCAGAGGGGTTCATATGTGAAAATTACATTTATTTTGTTCATCTCTTACATATCCAGCCATGACATAGAAATGGCTGAATAATGTATGATTGTACTCAGATACATAGCTGTGTTTGTTTGCATAGGCAAATAAAGGGCTATTGTATTACCTTTGATACTAATGAAGAGAAAAGTCTGTATGATGAAGCTTTAGTAGGCTGGAGGTGCATCTTGTATTGTAGAATCAATATAGTTTGACACCACTTTTAGCTGCTATGGCTCAATGCTATGGAATCTTGGGTAATTGTAATTTTATAAAATCTTTAGCCTTCTCTGTCAGTGTGCTGGGCCCAAAGTAACTACAACTCCCATGGTTCCGGAGTATTGAGCCGTGGCAATTAAAGTAGTATCAAACTGAATTAATTCGACAGTGTAGATCTACCTTAAGTATACTTTAGGGCAGGGGTCCTCAAACATTTTAAACAGAGGGCCAGGTCACATTCCCTCAAACTGTTGGAGGGCTGGATTATAATTTGAAAAAAAGCATGAATGAATTCCTATGCACACTGCACATATCTTATTTGTAGTGTAAAAAACACCTAAAAACAATACAAGAATTGACATGAAGAACAATTTTAACATATATAAATTTATTAGTATTTCAATGGGAAGTGTGGGCCTGCTTTTGGCTGATGAGATAGGATTATTGTTGTTGTTGTTGTTGTTGTTGTTGTTGTGTGCTTTCAAGTCATTTCAGACTTAGGTTTACCCTGAGTGAGGACCAGGTAAATGATCTTGGAGTGGTGAGGGAGGAAGGGGACACCTGCCTAGCCAGCCAGATCAGCCGAATCAACCCTGGCGATCAATGGGCAGCCAGATCGCCTTCACATCAATTTAGGTTGACCCTGAGCGAGGGCTGGATAAATGACCTTGGAGGGCTGCATCCGGCCCTCGGGCCTTAGTTTGAGGACCCCTGCTTTAGGGTGATCAAATGTACCATAAGGTTCCTTTGAACTTTGGTGAGGTACCAGCACTCTTTGGCAAAAATCTCTATAAAGACTTTGTAAAACCACAACTCTCACAACTCAACAGGATTCAACCATGGCAGTTAAAGTAGTGTTAAACTGCATTAATTCTACAGTGTATACACAACCTTGGAAACAATTTAAACTGGCTGTGAAATGTGAGGCATGGACACAAACAATTTTTTTCTCATTAATTTCTAATGTTCTAGCCAATTTTGGCTTATTCTTGTCATTTGTTCCTACCCACCCACCACATTTTTGGGCACTTATGTGCAGTCAGTACGGCAACTAGAGAGGGACAAAACAGGAAACTGCCCAAGCCGTGCCACATTTGCCAATTCCCTAGCCTAAGTGAACTGAGAGCACGCTTGTGCCGTCTTCTGAGAAGAGACTTGTTGCTCCCAGGAAATGAGCAATTGTGCTCCACCCCAAAAGCATTCACTCCCGTCTTCCTTGCTAAGCTGATCTGAAGGGCAACAATATGCTTCTCTTGCAGCACATGTAGCCAGTCTTCTCTTCCTAGAAACACAATGAACCAGGATACAGGCATTTTAAAAGGTCAAGGAAGCGCAGCATGATGCAACACTCTCCTAATGTGTTGCATCATTTAGATGTTTGCTTTTGTCACTTCAAGGTTAGCTGTTTATTTTTAGCAGTAACTAAAATGGTTTTCAAGTCAGTCCTTGAGAAAACTCTAACCTTTTACCAATCACTAAGAACAGGTTTCTCGTCAGATATCATCGCTGTCACACTGTATTTCCAAAAAGGAGAGACTTGGGATGCATCTATACTGCAGGCTCAATGCAGTTCGACATCACTGGAACTGCCATGGAATCATGGGACTTGTAGATTTACAAGGACTTTAGCCTTCTCTGCCAAAAAGTGCCACTGTCTCACCAAACTACAACGCCTATGATTCCATAACATTCAGCAATGGCAGTTAAAGTGATGTTGGACTGCATGAATTCTCTAGTGTACAGAGTCATTGATATCTTAGGAAACCTTGCTTAGGCTTTAGGTGTTCAAGCATTCAGGGCTCCCCTCTCTAAGGATAAAAATACAGATCCAGAAACCTGCAATTCTAGTTCACATTTTATTAAACTTCAGGTCTGTGCCACCAGATCACTAGATAGTAGTCAACAGCAATCATGGAAAGACCTTTAAGTACTTCTGTTTAATCTTGGGCCAGCACCATTATCTCGAAATGTCACACGGGGAATGCTTTTCCTTGGCACTGCTAATATTTCAAAGTTCTCAGTGCCTAACTGGAATTGTTCTAACCTCCAAAGAGGAGACTCTGCCACATTTTTTCCAAAGGAGCATCTATCCTGGTTGCCCAAATCCTCATCACATGTTAGAGAAAAGAAAATGCCACAGGGTCTGTTATGGATCAGACCAAGTGCCTGTCTACACTAGCATTATGTTCTTGAAATAGTCTGCACAGGAAGGCCACAAACAAGACATTATCACAGATAGGCTGCTCCTGAAACTGGTAAACATTTATAGTTATCATGATTAGCAGGCATACTCTCTCTGAAAGCCAACTGATTTAATTCCTACTTAGGGTGCATCTATACCAGGCATGGGCAAACTTTGGTCCTCCAAGAGTTTTGGACTACAACTCCCACCATTCCTAATGGCCTACCAGTAGTCTGTTAGGAATTGTGGGAGTTGTAGTCCAAAACACCTGGAGGACCAGAGTTTGCCCATGCCTGATCTACACTGTAGAAATTAATGAAGTTTGGCAGCACTTTAACTGCTCTGTTTCAAAGCTACAGA